AGCTATGACTTTCCGCACACCGGTCGGACGCTCTACCACTGAGCTACAGGAGACTTGTGGGAGCTTAGGCCATATAACTAGGTTTGCACGATGTTTTCACGTTTTGCAATGCCCCTCCCCTCCTCCACCACCCCCTCCCTCCCACATACACACGTATAATCCATCACAAACATGCTTTTTATATTTCACAGAAGGCCACCAGGATAGACTAAAGAGCAAAGAACTGCTTCAGGAAATGAAGGCATTTGTGGGAGAATTCTACTGCACTTTCAAGGCAAACTATTCTCGACTGGCACAAAAACACCGATCCCAGTTAAGAAGCCTTAAAACTCAGCGTGCCGTTAGGGAGTCTGGTACTAGTAACTGGGCTAACTTCAGGCTATGGCCGAAAAATAAGGTCTTCTATTGAAGTTATGGCAACCTCGTTCCCAGGGTCTCTCATCTTCCCGCCCCCTGGAGCGGGGCGGGAAGATGAGAGACCCTGGGAACGAGGTTGGATTTATGGGGGACTACAGTCGGACAGACGTGTAGTTTTGTTGCACTAACTGAGATTGACCTTGAAAACGACATTGTCATCTATATGTTATATTATCTTTATCACGTTTTCGAGACCTAGATCACTAGAAATACAAACAATATTTATTTGATTCTGTTTAAAAGTACTTCATAAGGATATCGTTAAAGGAGCTACATCACGGATCGCACATCTTGAAAAAATTGGCCAATATTTTCAAGTTCGCCGTTCGCAATCCGTGTTAATCTTCTCCATCCTCAACCATCCTTGTTCCTATTTGGTTTATTATCACCTCTTTGGTGTTTTTCTACCTTAGTATACTATTATTTTGAGGCTTTCTTCAGTTTGAAGGTGATTTTGCACTTCGCAAAAATGACTTAAAATATCGTGACATAGCTCCTTTAAGTTTCTTTGGAGCCTTATCCTGCAGGGACAAAAAACCTGGCTAATACTGCTGTGGTTCTTATGGTGTCCTTGAGTTTTATAGTTTTTAGCAGTTGCCCGGTGTTAGAGCGGTAATAATATAAGTGTTTTGCCTTGGTTTTCCTTAATTTACTACGCTCTATGATTGGTTTAACAAATACTCGCGTCACCTACTCAACCAATCAGATGCAATGCCAAACCCAATCTCGACGCGTTTTCCCGCGCTTGGCGCCGGTTACGTGTATTTGCTTCGAGTTTTTATGGTTCATTGCGTTGTTTACGTTTGTTGTGATTGGCCATTGTAATTTCTTTGGTTTACTGAGGTTTTACGATAGTCAATCTGAAAACCGCTCTAATCAAACGAGAGTTATTCCACTGGTTTATTATTTAACTGCACTGAAACGAAAAAGTAAAGTTTGTTTCTGAGCGGTTTATGTAGCATGAAGAGACTCAGGAATATTGTTTACTAATATACCCGTGGATGGAACTCGCTAGTAAATCGCTCGCCAGGCTAGCTGTAAATATATATCGCTGGACGTATAAATAACATTTAACCCTTTCTCTCCCAAGAGCGCTAAGTTCAAAACTGTGATAAAAATCTTGAATTTCATTTTGCAAAATTTTCAAAAACAAACATTACCACATGAAAGTACTGCTCAATAGCTTTCATTTGAATGGTCACACACAAGGGTTCATCTACAGACTTAAAAGTTACAACCACATTTATTGACTCAAGGCTTGACTCTGGGAGTGAAAGGGTTACATGTGTAATACAGTTTTACATTCTCTGTATAATAGGGTAGTTCAATTGTGCGTGTTTTAAACTTCATTTTGTTATGTCTTTGAGCAATAATAAAAGGCAGATTATCTGGTGTGGTATTTTTTTTCCCTATATCAGACGATATGTTAATCTCCTACGCAGCCGTTATTTGTGTCGTCACGGAAGTGGGGAGAAGCGTTGCGTGACGACACAAATAACGGCTGCGTAGGTGACTAACGATATGTAGAATACATAAAATACTCTGCGCACTTAGTTTGCGTCTCTATCGGCCGGGTACAGTCAAAGAACTCTGAGCGGACAGCTCTAGTTACAGCCGCCATGACAAAACCCCGTTTGAACTCTCATACAAACTCTGTCAGTTTACACTTTCCCGTAAGCGGTCAGCTCCAGTTGCGGACACTTTTTCTGCTTCCCGAAGGTGTCCACTTACGGGAGCTTCGACTGTATTTTTGTCGATCAATATCCCACCCAATGATATTACATGCCACAGCCAGTCTCTGTTAAAACCACGTCTAACTTTTGCTAATACGTTCACCCACCCAACCTCGTTCCCAGGGGAAGATGAGAGACCCTGGAAACGAGGTTGTCACCCACCATGGCGTGAACCACCACACAATGCACCGGAACCGTCACCGGAACCACCACAGAGTGAAACCAAGAAGACTGGGCACCAGAATTAATTTTAGTATAGGTGTCGCGTGACAATGACACATGAGGGCTGTTAAATGTGTACGTAATACACTTTGTAACACGCGTTTACTAGATAGTTCTAGCTGTTCTAGATTAAAAGCTCGCATTAAATCAGTGTTAGAATAAAAGTAAAGTAATGCGAGCTTTAATCTAGAACAGCTAGAACTATCTAGTAAACGCGTGTTACAAAAGTGTATTAACGTTACACATTTAACAGCCTCATGTGTCATTGTCACGCGACACCTATACTAAAATTAATTCTGGTGCCCAGTCTTCTTGGTTCACTCTGTGGTTGGTTCCGGTGACGGTTCCGGTGCATTGTGTGGTGGTTCACGCCATGGGTGGGTGACAACCTCGTTTTCCAGGGTCTCTCATCTTCCCCTGGGAACGAGGTTGGGTGGGTGAACGTATTAGCAAAAGTTAGACGTGGGTTTAACAGAGACTGGCTGTGCATGTAATATCATTGGGTGGGATATTGATCGACCAAAAATACAGTCGAAGCTCCCGTAAGGTGGACACCTTCGGGAAGCAGAAAAAGTGTCCGCAACTGGAGCTGACCGCTTACGGGAAAGTGTAAACTGACAGAGTTTGTATGAGAGTTCAAACGGGGTTTTGTCATGGCGGCTGTAACTAGAGCTGTCCGCTCAGAGTTCTTTGACTGTACCCGGCCGATAGAGACGCAAACTAAGTGCGCAGAGTATTTTATGTATTCTACATATCGTTAGTCCACCTACGCAGCCGTTATTTGTGTCGTCACGCAACGCTTCTCCGCCACTTCCGTGACGACACAAATAACGGCTGCGTAGGAGATTAACATATCGTCTGGATATAGGGAAAAAAAATACCACACCAGATAATCTGCCTTTTATTATTGCTCAAAAGACATAACAAAATGAAGTTTAAAACACGCACAATTGAACTACCCTATTATACAGAGAATGTAAAACTGTATTACACATGTAACCCTTTCACTCCAGAGTCAAGCCTTGAGTCAATAAATGTGGTTGTAACTTTTAAGTCTGTAGATGAACCCTTGTGTGTGACCATTCAAATGAAAGCTATTGAGCAGTACTTTCATGTGGTAATGTTTGTTTTTGAAAATTTTGCAAAATGAAATTCAAGATTTTTTTTATCACAGTTTTGAACTTAGCGCTCTTGGGAGAGAAAGGGTTAAATGTTATTTATACGTCCAGCGATATATATTTACAGCTAGCCTGGCGAGCGATTTACTAGCGAGTTCCATCCACGGGTATATTAGTAACAATATTCCTGAGTCTCTTCATGCTACATAAACCGCTCAGAAACAAACTTTACTTTTTCGTTTCAGTGCAGTTAAATAATAAACCAGTGGAATAACTCTCGTTTGATTAGAGCGGTTTTCAGATTGACTATCGTAAAACCTCAGTAAACCAAAGAAATTACAATGGCAATCACAACAAACGTAAACAACGCAATGAACCAATAAAAACTCGAAGCAAATACACGTAACCGGCGCCAAGCGCGGGAAAACGCGTCGAGATTGGGTTTGGCATTGCATCTGATTGGTTGAGTAGGTGACGCGAGTATTTGTTTTAAACCAATCATAGAGCGTAGTAAATTAGGAAAACCAGGCAAACACTTATATTATTACCGCTCCTAAACACCGGGCAACTGCTTAAAAACTATAAAACTCAAGGACACCATAAGAACCACAGCAGTATTAGCCAGGTTTTTTGTCCCTGCAGGATAAGGCTCCAAGAAACTTAAAGGAGCTATGTCACGATATTTTAAGTCATTTTTGCGAAGTGCAAAATCACCTTCAAACTGAAGAAAGCCTCAAAATAATAGTATACTAAGGTAGAAAAACACCAAAGAGGTGATAATAAACCAAATAGGAACAAGGATGGTTGAGGATGGAGAAGATTAACACGGATTGCGAACGGCGAACTTGAAAATATTGGCCAATTTTTTCAAGATGTGCGATCCGTGATGTAGCTCCTTTAACGATATCCTTATGAAGTACTTTTAAACAGAATCAAATAAATATTGTTTGTATTTCTAGTGATCTAGGTCTCGAAAACGTGATAAAGATAATATAACATATAGATGACAATGTCGTTTTCAAGGTCAATCTCAGTTAGTGCAACAAAACTACACGTCTGTCCGACTGTAGTCCCCCATAAATCCAACCTCGTTCCCAGGGTCTCTCATCTTCCCGCCCCGCTCCAGGGGGCGGGAAGATGAGAGACCCTGGGAACGAGGTTGCCATAACTTCAATAGAAGACCTTATTTTTCGGCCATAGCCTGAAGTTAGCCCAGTTACTAGTACCAGACTCCCTAACGGCACGCTGAGTTTTAAGGCTTCTTAACTGGGATCGGTGTTTTTGTGCCAGTCGAGAATAGTTTGCCTTGAAAGTGCAGTAGAATTCTCCCACAAATGCCTTCATTTCCTGAAGCAGTTCTTTGCTCTTTAGTCTATCCTGGTGGCCTTCTGTGAAATATAAAAAGCATGTTTGTGATGGATTATACGTGTGTATGTGGGAGGGAGGGGGGAGGGCATTGCAAACGTGAAAACATCGTGCAAACCTAGTTATATGGCCTAAGCTCCACAAGTCTCCTGTAGCTCAGTGGTAGAGCGTCCGACCGGTGTGCGGAAAGTCATAGCTTCTACATGTACTCTTGTTGGGAGAACTCGGGATTTTTTCCGAGTAGCTTGTGTCACTGACGGATTAAAATCTGTTTCATTCAGGATCGTGTAAAAGGGGAGTTTCAGCTGTACCGCGAATTGATAGCGTTTCATTAACTTTTGCTATTTTTAAAATGACGCTACAGACACCTAAAAAATGTTAGTCTAAATGTTTTCAAGCTCGTTACAGAGTCTTTGGTTCATTATTATCTCGTTTGGTGTCTTTCTACTTTAGAAAATTATTATTTTGAGGATTCATTCGTTTGAAGATAATTTTGAACATGGTACCTCTCTCCTCCGCAGAGGCTCCCTTGGGGAGGGAGGAAAGGGGAGAAAGAGCGCGCGCGAGGGACGATGCTTGCTTTTTCTCTCTCTCTCCAGCCCCCACGCGCTTTATATTTCACTCTCCCCAATCTTCCCAATTCCCTAGTATCCCAAAAAGCCTCTGCGGAGGAGAAAGACATGGTACTGAAATGAATTGACATATCTTAGCATAACCCAGTGACAGACTGTTGGTAAACTCGTAATCTGATTGGCTACACGAACACCTACTATCGATCGATAGAAGGCTCTCGGAGCACAGTTTTTCGTGCATGCGCATTACGGCTGAAACGTAATCAACAAAACCGTCAATAAATTACTGAGTTTCACCGACATCAACGTTTAATAGATCAACCACTAGGTTATGCTAAAACAATTAGACTGCTCGCTATCGGCTTCTATCGACTTTGATAGTTAACTCAGAGCTTCGCTCCTTACCAACTATCAGCCGAAAGAAACCTCGCACTCGCGAACTAATTGTTATAAATATTTGATACTCACCGCCTTGGGCAGCTTCCGGCCGAGTACGCACTTTTCGTCGGCATTCCCAGATTAGTCCCAGAACAATAGCCACGACCAACATAGCACCAGTGATACACATATAATACCTGAAGACATCATTGTTCGGGTCAAATAAGCCGGAAGCAACTTCTACACTCTCAGAGACATTATCCTCCTGTTTAAAAGCAAACGTGGAAATGAGGTCCCTTAGGGAGGCAAATTGAATCAAGGAGGGGCTTTGGAAGGTGCACTATCACGAAGGGGCACTAATCACGCGAAAGGGCTTGGAAAACGGCACGGATATTATAGCTATTTTGGTATATATGGCGATGGATTAATGTTGGCCGTCTCACGCCTTGTTGGTCCGCTGTTCATCGATGCATTGGTTCTTCCGTCCGTCCGTCCGTCCATTCGTTCGTTGGTTGGTTCTTTGGTTGGTTTGTTTAGTTCATTTGCAAACTCAGTCACGAGTGTTTGCTACCATAACTCTTCGAAAACAAGGGAAAAGACGAGAGTGTCCGCTCAGAGAGCTTTGACTGTATCACTAACCATAATGGAGTGGATAAACTTGCTAATGTGCTCAAACATCTCATTCCTGTTCGCCTGCATGTAACTTTTCGAACACTGTAGAAGTTTGGTCGAGTTTCCCGCCAGTACCACCCCGTAAGTGGACTTGTAGTCAAAGATGGTGTGAATGCGGATATGCGGGTCTTTAAACTGATCTTTCTTGGTTCCAGCCTCGTATGTGTCAATCAGCATTCCTTGTACTTCTCGGTTGATGAGGGCATCGTAAACTTCGGAAAAGGTTGTGTAGGCTTTGGCTGAAAAAGCGGACGAAACTATTTTAAAGAAAGATCGATTGTGGAGCGCTCAGCGAGGTCACGCTAGCCAGTTGGTCACGCCAGATTAGGTCACGCTAGGGCGCTTATTTCCTTTTTTGCCCGAAAGGATGCAATGCCACGCTAGGGTAGGTCACGCTATAGGTCACGTTATGCCACGTTTGGTCACATTAGGCTAGATCACGCTAGGTTTAGGTCACGTTAGTCCTTGCTAGACTATGTCACGCTAGACTAGGTCACGTTAGATCACCGACTTGGTCACGGTAGGCTATGTCACGTTATGTTTGGTCACGCTAGGTTAGGTCACGCTACGTCAAGTCACGCTACGTCATGTCACGAAATTTTGGGGCATTCATATCTGTATTCTGTATAAATGAAATGTTCATTCAATGATGAAATCTCAGCTACATGACTAGTCCCCTACGCAGCCGTTATTTGTGTCGTCACGCAACGCTTCTTAGTGGGAGGAGCGTTGCGTGACGACTACATAACAGGCAAGGAAGATTTCTGAGCGCCTGATAAAAATATTGTTTAACAGATTGTTAATAAGTTACCTTCATTTACTCTGGCATTTCTCGACACAGCCAGTCGATATTCAGGTGTGCCTTGAATTGCCGCGACCTATCAAAGAAAAACAAACACGGTTTACAATAAAGTCAATACAGTTTTCAGGAGCAAGGTCGTCGTCATAACACGTTACCAAGTTTCACAGAAGTGCATTTCTTCTTCATCAAGTCTTAACAGACCAATAAATGAGTTGGATCGGTAATAGACATATGAAATATTAAAGGATCGGAAGTGAACATGGGCCCTTCTTAAAAAGAAGGTGTGTGGGTGGGGGGGGGGGGGGGGGAAGCGTAGAAGGGGTGGGTGTTTACTTGCTCAAATTACAGGGGGGAAGAAACGAACATTTTCTGGTCCATCTGGCCAACAAAACTGGGGCAGGCTCCTAAGTCCCCCCCCCCTCCTATAGATCCAACACTGCGGGTTTCCGCCCTTGACTGGTACTTGTTTCCTTCACTCAATGACTGTTGTTGTAACATGGTTCTATTACCTGTAAAAACCTGTCCCAAGCTGTAATAACTTGTCACAACCTGTCACAACCTGTAATAACCTGTCACAACCTGTAATAACCTGTAATAACCTGTCATAACCTGTCACAACCTGTCACAACCTGTTAATAACCTGTCACAACCTGTCATAACCTGTCACAATCTGTAGTAACCTGTAATAACCTGTCATAACCTGTAATAACATGTCACAACCTGTAATAACATGTAATAACATGTCACAACCTGTAATAACCTGTAAAAACCAAGGCGTACCTTAGTGCCATACAGTATTATGTCGGTTTTAAACACAAACACCGTAATGGCGGACGTGAGTGCGCCGCTCAGGATTCCCATCAAGACGAGTCCAGTTAAGATCCAAAAGATAGCGAACGCCTTGGATATATGGGCAGACGGCACTTTATCGCCATATCTAGGCATTTAAAAAAAAGTCAATATATCACATTATTAATGCCACCCGCGTGCGAAAAGAGCGGGAAAAGTCGCATAAGCAGAATCGTGATCAGTTGAATTCGGCGTTACATCTGATTGGCGCAAAAGATAAGATCCTCATTCTGATTGGTTAAAATAGCTGGCTTGCTGATTGGATATTAGGGAGTTTACGCAACCACGACATCGAGGGCAACGTCGATTACAAAATGAATTTATATTTTACTTAAAAGAATCTGGCCATAATCTACAGATGTATTCAATTGTTTCAAGTTCGTTGTTCACAAACCATCTTAACCTTCCTCAGTCTTAACCATCCTTGTTCCTGTTTGGTGTATTATTACTTCTTTGGTGTTTTTCTACCTTAGTGAATTGTTATTTTGAGGTTTCCTTCATGAATTTCGAAAGTAATTTTGTTCATCAGAAAAATGATTTAAAATGTCGTGACGTAGCTCCTTTGAAGGACATCTGACAGTTATTGAGCCAAACGAAAGTATAGTTAACACTAGCGTGGTAGTTTGTTTGTTTGCTACTCACCCTATCGTAGTCATGGAAACAAACGCCCACCAAAACCCGTTTCCTGATCCACGGAAGAATGACTGAGGAAACTGATCTGGGTTGGACTTAGTATCCTGGCAACAAAAACAACAAGTATGGTGACTTGAACGCCTCGTTTTCAAGTCGCGATCATAAAAACACATGCAAACGAGGCCTTTCTAATGTGTTGACACAAAGTAAAGTTAATGTAAAATAAAACTTGGGGTGGCCCATCTAGCCTCCAACGCAGACATTCTTTGGGCTCGTCACGCAATCTTTCCTCCCCCCACGAATTTGCGTAGGAGGCTATGGCCCATCCAGCTCGAAGGCTGGTATCCAGAGAGCCTCTGCATCTAAAAAACTACAGGGCCCGGCTGTTCAAACGGTGGATAACGCTATCCACCGGATAAATCACTATCCAACGGATAGCGCAGTTTGTTTTGATAACACTTATCCGCTGGATATCGATTTATCCGGTGAGAGTATATTAAAAAGAGATAAAAATACAGTCAATTCTCGTTATCGCGGACACTCTCGGGAAGTAGTTTGGAGTCCATAATAGCAAGAGACCACAATAGCGTACCGGAAACCGCGCAAGAAAAGCCTCTGGCAGCCAGGGTAGCAATAGCGGGGTGTGAGAAAAAAGTTCTGGAAGCAAAAGGCGCAATAAAGTAAAACGAAAACGCAAAGTCTTGTGCCATGAAATCGATGTGAAAATAAACATTCCGTAAGTCCAGGTTGACACATAATGAACAACAGACTATGTACAGTCAATACATAAATCTGTTACAGTGGAACCCGGTTAATACGGACATCAAAGGGACATGAAAAAGTGTCCGTATTATCCGGGTGTCCGTATTAAGCGGCTGATATAAGAGAAAATATGTGTCGTCGGGACAAACAAAATGTCCGTATTAAGTGGGTGCAAGAGAGGATGATCTAAGAGAACACATCCCCATGCCCCATGATAGTTTTTTTCAATCTATTTTAAGCTTCGCGCCATGCTGCGAAAGTTATTTTAGTCTCGTCCCCATGATGGTCGCGCGGCTAATGATCAGATGATCAGATGTCATTGCGAAGATTTTTCTCGCCGTCGTGTTGACGTCCATCTACTGAAATCGTAAATGCAAAGCCGCCAAATCTTAAATTTCGTTACGTCATTACAACTGACCAATCAGGTGTCTTCCTTAAAATAGCCGCGCAGTATGACCACGCGCTAAAATTAGATTGAAAAAAATTATCATTGGAAGAGGCCCATGTATGGGGGATGTGTTCTCTTAGATCATCTTCTCTTGGTGGGTGTCCGTA